CCAGAACCCACACGGGGGGACTGTGAAGGCCCCAGCCCCCCCCCCCTGCCCACGGGGCTCCCCCGGCACCGGGGCTGCTGCTCCCTCTCCCGCTCCGAAGGGATGGGATGGGATGGGATCACCAAAGGAACCCGGGAATAAGGAGGGATGGGGCTGGGAGAGGTGGCAACTCCATCACAGCCACCCAATTCCCCCACGCAGGGACCTGACAGCCACTGGCCATGGGGCAAAACCGGCGTAAAACACCCCAAATTGGGGGAAAATAAACCCTGATCCCGCTTATATCCCAAATCCAGCGGGGCGGGGGGGATTTCACATCCAGCTCCACGTTCTGCTCTTCAAGAAGAGTTGGGGTTGCTTCACTCTGTGCCCCACTTCCACGGAACAGCCAGGGCTGCCCACACCCCACCATGGCCAGCCTTTTTTTGGGGGTCCTCACCCCCCCCAGTACTGGGCTGCGGGGTCGGCTCCCCGGGGAGGGTGGGCATCGCTCTAAGGGCTGGCTCCGAGCTCTTCCTGTGGCCTCCCCAGGCCCTTCCCGAGGGGTTCTCCCTCCCCAGGCCCTTCCCGAGGGATTCTCCCTCCCCTCCTTGCTGGAACCAAGCACCTGTGGCTGGATTTTCGCTCCCGCAGCCAAATTTAGGCCAAAGCACTAAGAAAAGGGCGAGCGCTTGAGAGCGGCCAAATAAATTCACAACAAACTGTGGCTTTTTGCTGCCGTTGGATTATTTTTTATGCTTTAAAAAGAGGAGTGCTCCTGCTCCAACAGGTGGTCCTGAGCAGTCTCCTCCTCCCACCCCCCGTGTCTCAGATTCGCCGTGTTTCAATGAACCACGAGAGCTACCAAGGGTTTAAGATAGAAGGAACATCACAAACTCCAGCCCAGCAGCTCCTGCTGTGCCTGCACGGGCCAGGAAAGGTCTCGGAGCAAAGCAGGCTCTGCCACCTCACGATGAGATAAAATGGGACAAGAAGCCATGGATTTTATGGAAAGCTTTGATGCCACGATCTCACAAAAGGGTATTGTGGGGCCTTGGCCATCGTACATGTAGGATGGAGATACCTAAACCTGCCCTTGGGATGAGCTGGAGAAACTGGGCTGTGTACAACTTCTTACAGCTTCCACTGCCTCCAGCTTTGGAGTCCCCAACAGCAGAAGGACATGGAGCTGTTGGATGGGGCCAGAGGAGGCCTCGGAGATGCTGGGAGGGCTGGAGCCCCTCTGCTGGGAGGGGGGGCTGAGAGAGTTGGGGGGGTCAGCCTGGAGAAGAGAAGGCTCCGGGGAGACCTTGGAGCCCCTGCCAGTCCCTCAAGAAGGGGGGCTCCAGGAAAGCTGGGGAGGGACTCTGGATGAGGGAGGGGAGCCCTAGGAGGAGGGGGAAGGGTTGGACCCTGCAAGAGGGGAGATGGAGCTGAGCTGTGGGGAAGAACTTGTTTGGTGGGAGGGTGGTGAGAGCCTGGCCCAGGTTGGCCCGAGAAGCTGTGGCTGCCCCATCCCTGGAGGGGTTCAAGGGCAGGTTGGAGGGGGCTTGGAGCAACCTGGGCTGGTGGGAGGTGTCCCTGCCCAGGGCAGGGGTGGCACTGGGGGGGCTTTAAGGTCCCTTCCCACCCAAACCACTGTGATTCTCTGCCTGCTTCCAAGGAGAGAGGGCTTGGGCTTTTAGCACGTGCATCTGAGATATCGGAGATAAAAGGGAGGGTTTGGGATTACAGGGAAGGGGGGGGGCATCAAACCCAGCCCCAACTACTGGAGTTTTACATCCCAAGCCCCTCGGTGGGGTGGCAGGAGCCTGTCCCTCACCTGCAGGAGACACCAGCCTGGAACAGCTCAGCCATTTCCATCTGGAATCGATCCGGGGACTAAACCTCACAAATGAACAACATTTCCAGGCGGATCTATTTCAAACCCCCAGCATCCTTCCCCCTCCCTGCCTCTAAACAAGTCAAAGCATCGCAATGATTTCATAATAATTAAAAAAAAAAAAAGTACTGGAACTTGAGCCAAGAAGATCAACATAAACACTTGAGCTGATTTAGTTCAGTTTCAGAGCTCAGGGAGACGCCGCTGCCCCGATGCAGATCCACATCCCTGCAACCATCAGCCCTTCGGAGCAGCGAGTTATTTAGTGGAGGCTGAAACTGAAAAGGAAAAAGGGGGTTTTCACCTTCCTGGCTCAAAAGACCTATTTTTCCCCTCCCCATCTGCTTCCAAAGAGGTGACGTGGTGTATCTGGAGGCTCATCCCTGCGGAGGGATGTCCCTGGGGGGTGTCAAAGCCCCGACATCCCAGGGTGGCTGCGGTTTGTGCTCCTCCTTTGGAGCAAAACCCTGGTGGAAGCGAGAAAGACAACTGACAGTAAATCTATTTCTGCGCCGCGGCGCCTCCCGGGGCAGCCTTTGATTGGGGAGCTCCCCGGCCTGTGCTTGGCTCCGTGTCGGCAGCTACAATTAACATGAGTAATTGCTCCCCGGCTGCTGCTGGCAGGAGCCACCGGAGTTCACACCACGGGTCCTGCCCTCCAGGTTCTGCCACCCCAGCGCCTACAGCGGCTTCTCGAGGCGCCTCGACCAGGTCAAAAAGGGAATTATGGAAAGGACAATGAAAAAAAATTAATAAAAAATAAAAAAAAATCGTAAGTATTCATTTCCCAGCAAGGATCTGTGGTAATTACTGAGGTAGGTTCAAACGCAATCAGTGTTTCCTCACGCTGAATGAAGCTCAGGGGAGATGCTTCAAGAAGATCTACCACCCCATCCAAGACGTGCCTCGACTTTTGGCTGCAGGGTCAGCCAAGAATTGCTGTGTCCCAACATCAGCCAAGACTTGCTGTGCCCCAACAGATTATTTACACACACACCCCCCCCCCCCAAAAAACAAAAAATAAAACCCCAAACTGAGAATTCTCTGGAGCAGGGAATGAAAAGAAAATGCTCTACAGCCGAGGTCGATGGGTGGGAAGCTCCCCCAGATGGGAAGGAGCCAACAATTTATGGTGGAAACCCATCTCCTCCTCCTTGAGACAGCAACGTGGTGGGTTTTTGGCTGCTGCATCCTGCTCTTTCCCCCCCCGTGGGCAGCCCCCCCAGGTTTCTCCCACCCGTGTCTCAATTCCCACTCCCCGCTCGCTCGGTGCAAAGAGAACCACCCATGAAAGAGCTGGGAAGGTGGGACCTTCTCTGGTTCAACTCCTCCCCTCTGGTCTGGCCTCAGCCTTCCTGGCCCAGGCCACGGGGTTTTGTAAACAGGGATTTTCTTCTGTTTTGAAGGAAAAGGTTGTACATTCCAGTTTGGGTGACAAATTCAGCTGTTCTATCGTTATTCTTAACGATTTTTAAATAGATGAGGAACAGGCAGTCTCAGCTTTTGTACGTTCATCGAAAAAATAAGTGGCTGAATTATTATCTAGAGAACTCGGTTGGAAAATCCATCTCTTCCTACATAAATTGTAAACAAGTAGAAAATTTAAATAGTTATTTTGTAAAAAAAGCCAGGACAATACAATTATACAAAAAAATCACTCTTCCCTGCCTCTCTCCCTTCCCCCCACCCTCCCAGCCCTGGCCCAGCCACTGAGCCCGAGCAGCTCTGGGAAGAGCTGGTGATCCTCAGCCGAGTCATCTTCTCCTTCTTCTCCTTCTCCTTCTCCAAAATGCTCCTTCCCATGTTGTGTTTCCAGTGTAACCATTAAAAGCACCGTTGGGTTGGGGTTGATGTCCTTCCTACAGCACTTGACATCCGTCCCCTGCCCCCGGGCTCGACAGAAAGGAGTTCTCAGTGCATCGTTACGGGATGGCAGAGGCAGGAGGAGGAATTCCTTCAATATTCCAAGAGTCCCCTTATGCACCCAGAAGAAAAAAGAACATCTCAGCACAATCCTCACCAGCGAGTTTCCACCTACCAACACATGGAGCCATCGGGATGGAGGAAGGGGGGAGGAGGAGATGGTTTTTGACACAGAAATTCAGCAACGGTGCCTGCTGAGTACCAGTTATGGAATAAATAATTACCTACAGCTGGGTTCCGGAGAGGCAACCAGATTATTTTGTTTGTTTTTCCTCAAGAATCCCAGATTGCTCAACACCTCCATGCACGAGACGGGTGGCTTCACCACGAAGAAGCCAACCTGGGGGAAACCAGCACCCCGCTGCCGGGTGGGATGGTCATACTGAGCGTTGTGTCCCCCCACCAAGTCCCCAAGGAGGGGAGGCCGTGCCGTGCCGTGCCACCACGGGGGCTGCTCCTGTCCCTCAGGCGCTGGTGCCGTCCTCCTCGATGACGCGGTTCATGCTGGTGCCGTGGGTGATGTGGGTGACGGGGTTCCCGCTGAGGTCCCTGGCGCTGCTGTGCCGCGACTGCTCCGTCAGCCGGTGGGAGCTGCTGTGCCGCGAGTGATCCGTCAGCCGGGACATGCTGCCGTGAGGTAGTCTGTCTTCTACGCCCCTGTAGCTGCAGGGGGTGTACCTAATTGATAAATCAATTTAAAAAAATAAATAAATAAAATAATAGAGGAGACAATCGTTACTGTCGTTACCGCCACAGTCGGCAAAGGATGTAAATAAATCTCGCACCAATCCTCTGCTTTTGGGGAAAAAGTCATAGAATCATAGAATGGTTTGGGTTGGAAGGGACCTCAAAGATCATCGAGTTCCAACCCCCCTGCCCTGGGCAGGGACACCTCCCACTAGAGCAGGTCGCTCAAGGCCACAAGTCCCCTCGGGGTTTAACACAGCGCTGTGTCCCTCTCAGAATCACAGAATCTTCTAGGTTGGAAGGGACCTTAAAGATCATCTTGTCCAACCGTCAACCCAACTGACAAAAATAGACACCCACACAACAAACAAGGAGCATCATCACTAAACCAGACCTCCCAGCACTACATCAACCCATCTTTTGAACACCTCCAGGGATGGTGCCTCTCCAGCAGATGCACCTGCTAAAAGCCCGAGCCCTCTCTCTTTGGAAGCAGGCAGAGAATCACAGAGTGGTTTGGGTGGGAAGGGACCTTTAAAGACCCCCAAGTGCCACCCCCTGCCCTGGGCAGGGACACCTCCCACCACACCAGGTTGCTCCAAGCCCCCTCCAACCTGCCCTTGAACCCCTCCAGGGATGGGGCAGCCACAGCTTCTCGGGGCAACCTGGGCCAGGCTCTCACCACCCTCCCACCAAACAAGTTCTTCCCCACAGCTCAGCTCCATCTCCCCTCTTGCAGTGTCCAACCCTTCCCCCTCCTCCTAGGGCTCCCCTCCCTCAGCCAGAGTCCCTCCCCATCTCTCCTGGAGCCCCCCTTCTTGAGGGACTGGAAGGGGCTCCAAGGTCTCCCTGGAGCCTTCCCTTCTCCAGGCTGAACCCCAACCAACTCTCCCAGCCCCCCCTCCCAGCAGAGGGGCTCCAGCCCTCCCAGCATCTCCGGGGCCTCCTCTGGCCCCGCTCCAACAGCTCCATGTCTCTCCTGAGCTGAAGACTCCAAATCTGGATGGAGAGCTCCAGGTGGAGTCTCCCCAGAGCAGAGCAGAGGGGCAGAATCACCCCTTTTGTCCTTTTCACACCCCGTAACTCACGAAGACTATCATAGACTCTGAAAAACATGACAATACTTTTCCCCCTTCCCAACCCAGACACTACCAGGGAGAGGAGACACAATCAGAGAAAGAAAACAGTGGAACATCCAGTTTTAGTGATGTGGTGGCCAAAGCCCATCTGGCAGAGGGACCTCCCCTTTTCCACAAGCCTTTACAGAGAAGACACGCACCGGCCGTCGCGCGATCGGTGCAGGCTGCCGTGGTAGCTGCTGACTTTGCTGTGGACGCTGCCCGCCTTGCTCCTCTGGTCATCCAGCATGGCCAGCTGGGTGGAGGAGGCGTGAGTCGAGGTGCCCTGGGTGGAGGTGCCCCTGGATTTTCGGATGATGGGGGTGTTGGGGTCCCTCAGAAGAGACTGAGCGAAGTCTGGCTCCTGCAGCACTTGGCGACTCTCGTTCACAACTCTGGAGAAGACACACAATTGGAATCGTTAACATTGATCACTGCAATAGAAAAGTGATCACAGTAACAGCACCGTAACTGTAACATATGGAAGGGACCTTCAAGACCATCCAGTGCCACCCCCTGCCCTGGGCAGGGACACCTCCCACTACCCCAGGTTGCTCCAAGCCCCCTCCAACCTGCCCTTCAACCCCTCCAGGGATGGGGCAGCCACAGCTTCTCGGGGCAACCTGGGCCAGGCTCTCACCACCCTCCCACCAAACAAGTTCTTCCCCACAGCTCAGCTCCATCTCCCCTCTTGTAGTGTCCAACCCTTCCCCCTCCTCCTAGGGCTCCCCTCCCTCATCCAAAGTCCCTCCCCACCTTTCCTGGAGCCCCTTGAGGGCCTGGGATACCCTTGGGACAGCGCTGGGGCTCAGATTGCCCAGGGAACTGCCTCTCAGGGAACACAGGAAGCTGCTCCCTCACTCAAACAGGTATTTAAATTCTTGATAAAGACTGGCAGCAGGAGGATAACACCAGATGAAACACAACACACCTAATAATGCCCCCACAACTGGCCTGTAGCCCTTAGATCAGTGGTTCTGGTCCCCCAGCTCCTCTCTTTGCCAAAACCCCTGGCTGGGAAGGGCTGGCAGAGGGGACACCCTTGGCTGCTCTACCACAGCACCATGAAAGGAGGTGCCATCACATCCTCAAAAGTCTTTCTTCTTTTAAATCTCTTTTTTTTTTTGTGGGAAGCCCTTTTCCTTCCCCTCCCGTTCTCTCTGTTATTCTTCCATGTTTGGTCTCCTGGGCTGGTCCAGCTCCTCCTCTTCACCATGTGCTCGCAGAGGGTCACAGACTCCCTGAGGAGGGAGGGTTTTATCGGCTCTGCCCCGTACTCATGGAATGTGGCCGGGAAGGAATCCAGCTCCAGGCAGACCCTGCTGTAGGTGGGAGCTGCTCTGCTCTCCTGCTGCACCAGGACAGAGGGTGGCACTTCCAGGAGCCACCCAGCTCCCCCCGAGATAAACCAGGTCCTGTCCTCTGCCCACCCACCTGGCACATCCCCTCCCTCTCCATCCCAGCTAAATGGATGTACCTGCACTAAAAACCATCTCAAGTTGTTGTTAACCCCGTGCGTGTCTCAGCGGGTTATCTCTGGAAGCAAGAAAATTTAACTCCAGTTGTACAGAAGGTAATTTCACTTAAAGCCCAGCAAAAGGCCAGTTGAGGAGGGACAAGGCAAAGTCCTTTAAGGACAAGAGGAAATGGCCTCAAGTTGCCCCAGGGGAGGTTCAGGCTGGATATTAGGAAAAATTTTTTCACTGAAAGGGTTCTCAGCCATTGGAATGGGCTGCCCAGGGAGGTGGTGGAGGCCCCATCCCTGGAGGTGTTCAAAAGACGGGTTGATGTAGTGCTGGGAGGTCTGGTTTAGTGATGATGCTCCTTGTTTGTTGTGTGGGTGTCTATTTTTGTCAGTTGGGTTGACGGTTGGACCAGATGATCTTTGAGGTCCCTTCCAACCTAGAAGATTCTGTGATCTCTTTTGAAACACCTACTGACAAAGCAATATTCAGGATTATGGAAATAGCCATCCACAGCTATTGCACAATTCTATAGATTCTCTCTAAATTTATGCCATACCTTAGAATAAATTAATTTCCATCTCCCAGAAGCTGTCTTTCCATCCAGCCGGGCTTTGGCGCTAACGCTCGGGGGAAGACTAAGAGCAGAGACAATTGGCTTTAACTGCAACCGTGGTGGAAAGAACTTACATTTCATTTGAATTTGAAGGTGTGAGCTCGTTTAGAAATACAAACTTCCAATTCCACCTCCCAGTAAATGGCAAAGGAGTTGTAATATTCGGCTGAAACCTAATTCTTGTTAAAAATTATTTTGAAAAGAGATGGAGCAATGTCCCTTTGATTCCGGGACCAAAGAATAATTATGGAAAAACAAGTGACAATTCTTCAGGGTTCTTTTTAGACTTGTCCTTCCTCATTCCATTCTAAGAAAGCTGCCCCTGTTTGTTCCTGTCTTTGTCTCCATGAAAAACTAACCCAAATCATCTTCCAGGACTACAAGGGCAGAGGAGATATTTGCCAGAGCTCCACCAGTTCCTCTGTGAGACACCAATACTCACTCTTTTTTCCTGCGCCCATGGAAGAAGCTGGCCCACTCGAAGCAGGTCTTCTTGCTTCCAACCCAGAAGACGGAGGGTATCCCAACGACCAGAGCCATCAGATACTTCATCAGGAAGAGAATCAAATCCGGGCGACTCATCTGCGTGACCTAAGGAGGGAAAAGAAGAGAAAAGAAGATGCTATGAACCATAGCTCCTCATTCCATTTATTAACTCATTTAAAACAACTGTCTCTGCCTTGAGCCAAAGCAAACATCAAGAGGGTTCCTGTGTCCCCCACCGGGGAGCGAAACAGAAGATTCAACTGCCGGGAGGTTCTGGCCTTTTATTTGCATTTCTCCTCTTTGGCTGTGCCCTGAATCATCATGAAATATTTTCTAGTCCACAAATTACAAAGACTCATCTCTTTGATGGAATTCACCTGTATAAACCCAGGTGCTGCATTTGCTGTTGGGAAAAAGCCCACCTCGCCCCAGTTCCTCCACGGGATCCACTCAGTTTGAAAAACCTCACCACGACTATTTTTGGAAACATTTTGATGTGCAAAGGGTTTGTTTGGAACCGGTGCAGAGACGATGCCAAGATGTTATTTCCAGAAAGGTCTCTAAGGAAGTTTTTAAACAAATAAGCATCAGGGGACTCTCTTGAATCAATAACCCAACTCAAACACTGAACCTTCAAGGACAGAAAACATCAAGCTTGAGTCAAAGATACCACCATCTTCTCGTAAGAAGGCTGTAGAGGAGAGGAATTAACTGATTCTGGTGTAATTAGTGCTCTGTGACACTCTCACTTACACTATGACCACGGAGGGTACTCTAGATCTCCAACAGCCATTGGCCACTAAATGACTTGAGGGTCAGGCAGGGGTTCCCCACTTTTCATCACAGCTGAAGGAGAGCTGGTCAGAAAACCTCAATGAGGGGCCAGTCAAAAGACTCAACCAGGGACCACAATAAAACCAGAAATGGGGGAAAGACCATAAAACTGCTCAGTCTGAAGGAACGGGTCTGCAAAACACCTTGAAAAATTGTATTATAACAAGGGATGAGGACTCTGAACGGGAATGGCACCATAAAGGAGAAGAAGACAAGGACCAGGAGAGGCTGTGGGATGGTCAGGAGATGATGTGAAAGGATGGGAGATGTGATGGGAAGAGCAGAAGGGAGGGAAGGAGATCCCATTGCTGGGGACCCCTTGGACAGGCCTTTAAGTGGAGCAGATCCAGAGCAGAAGGGTCCCCTGCCCGAGAGGAGCACGACGAAAAGCAGCAGCCGTGAGGCACACCAGGGGCCTGACAGCGAGGAGAAGACATCAGGGACCCCCTCATATCGTGACAGGTGACATCATGAGGTTCCCAGCAGAATGGCTTTAGGACGTGCAACGCTAAGGCTGCGAGAGGATGTGTCAAAAAAGTGGAAATTCCATTGATCTTCCCCTAAACTCTCCTGATCCCAGCAGAAATAGAGCAGGCACGTAAGGGGATAACACGGACCCACAGATGGCTCCAGGATTAGCTGGTGGTGGGAGGGTTTGGGGCTGTTTAATCAGGGGAGATGCTGAGGAAATCAGGTCTCTTTCCCACAAGCAGCACCTGCAGCAACAGCTTTGGGCCCGACAGGGACACAGATGGTGAAAAACGTTCTATTTAAGAGAGCAAGGGGGATATCTACCAGCCTGCTTCAAAGGGAAGGAAATAGCGAACAAGAAGCATTTCTTTTCCCCAAACTGACCATCTGAATTCGATGCAGTCACCGTGTCAAGATGATTTGCTCAAGCCCCATCACTTCCAAGCTGATGGGCAGCACAGCTTCTACAGGGACCAGCCAAAATACAGCCATCACTGTTTTAATAATTTGGATTATTACACCTTTTCAAATAATATCACCACTGTAGATGGATAATGAGGAGAATTTAAGCGTCTTGCCCCAAATCACACAGCAATAAACACGACCAGAATTTGGGACCATTGATTTTGTCTTCAGTAACTACACGTCCATCTTTCAATTACACGTAGAAACATAATGAGCATCGTTATAAGATGTTTCTCAGAGTTTATTTTTGTATGAAGTAGGATCAAGGCTCTCCCCGTGTCGGTTCTTCCCTCATGGCTGCTCAGGGTGCTTCCCACCAACCTCCACCCCAGGAAAAACATGGATCCTGAAGTTCTTAGATGACAAAACAGACCTTAGGAAGAACCACTTGCATCCATTCAATAGTGCAAGAGGAGTCTGAAGGCTTCCTAAGGTGGTTTTTGTAGTCAGCCTGTGAGATTCCACTCAAAAAAGCCCAAACCATTAACAACTACCCCATAAAAATTATCCAACAAAATTAAGCTCTCCCAAATTAACCTTATTATTTCATTTCACAATGTGCAAACGTGGCATGAAGTGGAATAAATGGCGAAATTCATTGTTCCTTAATGAAGGTAATATTTAGGTAAATTTTTAGATTTACATAGAACGCTTGTCCGCTCGGGCCAAGTCTCCCCTTGGCCCAACCGCCGCCCCGAAGGGAGTTTCATTTTGGTGCTGGCATTGAGAATAAACCAACAAGTTCTAGTGCTGAAGCTCCCACTTGCTCAGGGTGGTACAGGAGAGCTTTATTTTAGTGACTGAGTCACATCACTTTGTGTTGGAGCCAGCAGAAATCAGGTTTCTACTCTCGTCCCTCCAGATCCCTCCTGCACCGAGTAAATTCTATTACTTCCAGGAAGATATTATATTAAATCTCCCCATATCAAAACTTCTGGCTCAACATATTCCTGCTGGGTGCTATGAATAATTCCAAGCAAAAATTTAAAATAAATATAGGCAACAAATATTTTCAGATGAAAGGGAGGAAATACTTCTCTTTGGCAAAGCCAGTGATTAAACATCATCACACACGTTTGTGGAAAATAAGGCTCGTTGCACAAAGCAGGGAATTCAGGGACATATTGGACTCGCTGATCGTTAATACTGAAGTGACTGCACCTGTTTTAATCAACACACATCCGTGGATTATGAGACATTTATAATAATTAACGTAGGGAAAATAAAACTCTGAATTACCATGGCAGGCTTATAAACCTGAAAATACCAGGTGTTTAAACCCAAAGCCTCCGAGCGCATTTCCCAGAAACACGGCGCTCGCGGAACCCCGAGCCCGAAGTGCTGCCAGTTTCTTCCATGAGGACAGAGAACAGGTTGCTCAGTTTTCAAAAGCAGTAAAAATACGCCAAAACTGACTCATGTTCACCCTCCAAACTGAAACCCAGGAGATTTTCACTTTTGCTTTACTGCCCGGCCATTTAGGAAGAGTGAAAAATACAACGTACAACAGCGAATTATTGGGGATTTCAGCATCGCTAGATAAAATCACAAAACATGGAATTAGAATTTGACCTGGAACATCCAAACTTCACACACTGTTTTTTTCAAACACAAAACAGTTTCCAAAAGCATCTCCTAACGTGAGCAGCTTTGCCACATGACCACAGCACTGACAGCTCTAGAAAGAAGGGTCCTCATTTATAGTAAATTCCCCCTGACAGCGAGTAGAATGTTGAAACTGTTTGAGTAGCGCTTCTGCTGTTATAAAAGCACTTTTTTTATATACCCTGAGCTGGATTACTACTGTCTGCGCCTCCTGCAGAGAAAATCCAGGCAACTGGGGCTCCTGTAGGCAGCATGGATGGGCTGAAGCAGCAAAACAAGCAATTCCAGCCCTACAGAATCACTGCTTTCCCTTTTCTTGAGAAATTCACTGTGCAGGACCCAAACTCTTCCACAATTATCCAACTCCAACACGTGAAACCTCAATCAGTTTCTGAGGGAGAGCTTCAGCAAAAAGCTGCTGCTCTAAGATCATCCACACTTCTATGATAATCAACATCTTAATTTTTACAACTTATCTCAGTTGAACGACTAAAAGAGGAGATACAAAACTTCACTAAATCCCAGACTTCCATAAAATCATACAAGAGACAGTGAAAACTGGACAAGATCCACAATTTCTAAGATGATAAAGACAAGGTTCACGATTTGTATTTATCTTGTTGGGGAGAAGATGACACAGGGAATGGATAACGCAGCCATAGACACTGTAGAAAACCATCCTCCCCTAATCTCTAAAAATCTCTAATCTCCTCTGAAATTAGAATTTTCTCCTCTTCTCCAGCCTACAGCTCAGCCTCTTGGCAAAAAGCTTTTTGTAAATTTGAGGCAAGAGAGAAGTCCCCCCAGTTTGGGGTGGAACAGACATGAGGAAAACTGGGCAGATTGACTAATCCACAAATGACCCAGGGGATAGACTGTTAAAGGTGGAACAGACATGAGGAAAACTGGGCAGACTGATAAATCCACAAATGAGCCAGGGGATAGACTGTTAAATATCACAGAATCCCAGAATGCTATGGGGTTGGAAAGGACCTCTGGAGATCATCTCCTCCAACCCCCTGCCAGAGCAGGTCCCACCCAGAGCAGGTCCCACAGGAACGTGTCCAAGTGGGGTTTGAATGTCTCCAGAGAAGGAGACTCCACCACCTCCCTGGGCAGCCTCTGCCAGGGCTCTGCCACCTTCAAAGTGAAGAAGTTCCTCCTCATGTTGAGATGGAACTTCTTATGTTCCAGTTTGTGCCCATTTCCTCTTGTCCTGTCCCTGGGCACCACTGGAAAAAGCCTGGCCCCATCCTCCTGACACCCACCCTTGAAGTATTTATAGGCGTTGATCAGATCCCCCCTCAGTCTTCTCTTCTCCAGACTAAAAAGCCCCAAGTCCCTCAGCCTCTCCTCACCAGAGAGATGCTCCAGGTCCCTCATCATTCAGATATAAAATATCAGCTCTCAAATATTACTCCTTTTTTGGCTCAGATGGAGGAATGTGAATCCCTGTAGAAAAGCCACACCTTTAGTAAAAGAGATGGAGCCCCGCTGCAGAGGCAGCCAACGAGGGAAAAAAAAAACAAACCTCTTAAAAGGAATAGGAGGGTTTAGGCCAGCGACACGCACGTTATCAGCTGAAACAATAACCAGAGACATCCACTAACTCATGTAATTCAGTTGTTTCTTCTGTTGGCCACTTGGCACCGTTGCCAGAGCCTCCTTTGTGTGTGCTAACCTCAGCACTCCCCGCTTTATCATCTACCAGAGGCTTTCAAAACTCCTCT